ATCCCCAACTAAGCTGCTCTTTATTTGTTATCTTAGTTTTTTTTTTTTTTTTTTTTTGAGACAGGGTTTCTCCGTAGCTTTGGAGGCTGTCCTGAAACTCGCTCAATAGACCAGGCTGGCCTCGAACTCACAGAGATTTACCTGTCTCTGCCTCCCAAGTGCTAGGATTAAAGGCCTGTACAGCCACCACCATTAGGAAGCACATTTTGTGGTTTTTGAGACAGGGTTTGTCTATGTAGCTCTGGCTGTCCTGGAACCCTCTATGTCAGAGGTTCTCAACCTGTGGATTGAGACCTCTTTGGGGGTTGAAGAACCCTTCTACAGCAGTTGCATATCAGATATCCTGTATGTCAGATATTTACATATTGGTAACAGTAGCAAAATTAGTTATGAAATAGAAACAAATAGTTTTGTGGTTGGGGGTCACAATAAAAGGAACTGTATGAAATGATCACAGCTGAAGATGGGGTTAATTAATTCACTAGATCCAAGACAAATGACGGTGTTTTATTGGGGAACACCGAAGTGTTTTCTCTGCCCTTCCGATCAGATTCGTGACTCAAGAGAAGAGAGCATGTGAGAGAGACTACCTCATGCTTTCCTCTTTCTGCTTCCGGCTGCACCTGAAGCCAATTGGCTTCAAACCTATAGAGATCCACCTGCTTCTGCCTCCTGAGTGCTGGGATTAAAGGCATGTATCATCATGCCTGGCTTCAAAGACAGCAAGGATTCATAACCATTAAGCCAACTCTCCAGTCCTTTTGATTGTTTGTTTATTGAGATTGGGTATCACCAAGTGGCTCAGGCCTTGTTTATCAGCTTCTTCTGTATCTGCCTCCTAAGTATCTGGAAGAAGAGATTTGTAGCACTAGCTCCAGGTTCTCCATGCCATTTTAGTCAGGAATATTGAGACCCAAATTCAATGCTCAAAGATCACAGTTTCAGGGCCTGGAGAGCTGGTTTGGTGGTAAAGAGCACCGACTTGTTCTTCTAGAGGACCTGGATTTGGTTCCCAGCACCTAAAACTCCAGTTGCAGGGGATCTGATGCCTTCTTCTGGCCTTTGCAGGTATCAGGCACATCTGTGCACAAGCACACATAAACTAAAACTTTAAATTGTGTTTTACTTTTTTTAAAGATTTATCCAAAGTCTTACCTCTTCCCTGCAATCACTTGATCACAGGAGGCACCAGGCTAAGTGTGGAAGTGGAAGACCTTACAGCCTCTCCATCCTTGCTTATTGGACATACACAGACTGTAATAAACACCCACAGGAGGCACCTGGAGCCTGGTTACAGAAATCCCTCCAGCAGGTTTTTCCCCAAGGCATGCCATGTCACCACAGTGTCCATCCATGAGCCACATTCACCAGGAAGAGCATGTATGCTCCAAATTTTCTTTTTCTTGAGACAGGGTCTCATGAAGCCCAGGCTAGCCTCAAAGTAGCTATACAGTTGAGGATGGTCCTGAACCTCTGATCTCTCCGGCTTTATCTCTGAAGTGCTGGGATTACAGCATATAATTACGGCATGTACCACCACGCCCAGATCATGTGACTAGGTTTTGTGCTTTCAAACCCTGAAGATCACAGGGAAGAGTGAGTGGACACAGGCTAGAGGAGAGAATGAGGATCTGCTTCATTTTTTTTAAAAATGCTTTTTTTTTTTTTTTTTGGTTAAATTTTATGTTATGTGTGCCACAGTGCACATGTGAGGGTCAGAGGACAGCTTGCAGGAGTCCTCTCCTTTCACCTGGGTCCTGGGATGGAACACACATTGTCAGGTTAAGAAGCAGGCACCTCTAGCCACTGAGCTATCTCGCCAGCTGTCTTAGGGTTTCTACTGAAGCAATGAAACACCATGACCAAAAAGCAATTTGGAGAGAAAGGGTTTATTTGGCTTACACTACCATATTGCTACTCATTATTGAAGGAAGTCAGAACAGGAACTCAAACAGGATCCTGGAGGCAGGAGCTGATGCAGAAGCCATGGAGGAGTGCTGTGCTGCTTACTGGAGAACTCAACCTGCTTTCTCTTTCTTCTCCTTTTTTTTTTTTTGTTTTGTTTTTTGAGACAGGGTTTCTCTGTAGCTTTGGAGCCTGTCCTGGAACTCACTCTGTAGACCAGGCTGGCCTTGAACTTACAGAGATCCACCTGTTGTGCATCACCACTGCCAGGCTGACTCTGAGGTACCAAAAGCCCATGCTAGGCCCAGTCTTGGTGGCCTGCAGCTTCCGGATCAGATGTAGGCTCTTAGCTACTGCTCGATCCCCATGCCTGCATGTCTACTGCCATGCTCGCTACCACAATGGCCATGAACTCCACCTCTAAATCTGTAAGCAATCCCCCAGTTAAATGCTTTCCTTTATAAGTTACTGTGGCCATGGTGTCTCTTCACAGCAACAGAACAGTAACTAAGACACAGCTCATTCAAAGCCAGGAACTAGCTGTCAAGAAAGACAAGCCAAGATGCAAAAGAGACCCAGAAATATCATCAGAATGGGCACTTATTGAGAAAACAAAGTAGAAAGCATTTTGCATTTCTCCTTTCTCTCTCTCTCTCTTTTGGGGGGGGACAAGGTTTCTCTGTGTAGCTCTGGCTGTTCTGGAACTTGCTCTGTAAACCAGACTGATTTCAAATTCACAAGAACTGCTACCTCTGCTTCTCAGGCCAGTCTGAGGCAGAAGCCAGAGCCTCAGGAATATACAATAAAAGCTAAACATGGTGCTGCACACTTGTAATCCAGCACTGAGGAGTCTGAAGCAGTAAGATTATGAATTCCAGGATAGGCTGGGCTTCATAGAGAAACCCATAAAGGGAAGTCAGCTCCATTGGTAAAGGCACTTGCTAAGCAAGCCTGGGGACCTGAGTCCGATTCTCTGACTCTCACACCTGCTTTGTGGCTTGTGTGCTCAACCCTCACACCCCCCCCCCCAAACAAGCAAACACAGTAAAAGAAAAAATCTGGTGGAATGAGAGGACAAACTCCACAAAGCTGTCCTCCGACCTCCGCATGAACACTGGCACGCATGCTCCCAACACAATGTATTATATTTGAAAAAGGAGGGCAAGTGTAATGGCACACACCTTTAATCCCAGCACTTCAGAGGCAGAGGCAAGTAGACTGCTATGAATTCAAGGCCACCCTGGTCTACATTGTGAGTTCTGAGTCAGCCAGCATTATATGGAGAGACCCTGTCTCAAACAAACAAAAAGATAGCTGGGCAGTGGCGGTGCATGCCTTTAGTCCCAGCACTTGGGAGACAGAGGCAGGTTGATCTCTGTGAGTTTGACGACAGCCTGGTCTACAGAGTGAGTTTCAGGACAGCCAGGGCTACACAGAGAAACCCTGTCTTGAGAAACACCAAAAAAAAAAAAAAAAAAAAAAAAAAAAAGTATGTATATATGTTAAAAGTGAAACGACCACCCAGCTTTGCCTTTTTGACCAACAGGGCAGGACAGACACGAAGTGAAGAAAACACTTTTTTTTTTTTTTTTTTTAATCAACCCACCTGCATGGATACCAGGGAGGTCCCAGTCCACAGGGTCTCATTGAGAAGCAAACCCAGACCCCCTGCAAAACCCGGCTTATAAACCAAAAGGTCCAAAGCACCAGTGGCTAAACCCTTGAGTAGAAGAGGCCTGGAGGGGGGGATGGGAGGAATGAGTGCTGCAGGTGGAGGAGGAGGGCAGCAGGTGGAGGAGGAGGGCTGCAGGAGGAGGAGGAGGGCTGCAGGTGGAGGAGGAGGCCCAGTGGCAAGGGGCAGCCTGGCCTAAAGGGGATTTGTCCCCCTCTGATTAGGCTCACCACCCTGGGGCCTGTGATGGCTAGAGGAGATCTTGGGCCTGGCTCTTCTGTGTGGCATACTGCATGGGACAGAGGAGTGTGCTTGCCATCCTGGCTCAGGGAAGCCTGGAGAGGAGAACGGGAGGGATGTGGTCACCAGTGTGGCATGAACTGTCTCCACTGCCCAAGCTCTCTGCTGGGTTTTCGAACCAGGGCGGCTCCAGTTCCACAGACTGGGGCACTGACATCTGCTCTCCATTCACAAGTCCTCAGGGCATCTGTGGAGGGAGGTGATGAAGAGCCCTCCTGTTTGTCCTTGGAAAGGGTGGGGTGCTGACTCTCTTGGTCATAGTCCCCCACACTCCCCCTCTGCCCCTTCAGCACTCCTGCACATCATCTTCTGGCCCTCTGAGACCACAATGGTGAAGTAGGTGGATGAGTGGAGGGTTAGTGGGGTTGCTGGGGAGGGGAGTGGCAGCAGAGGATCATGGGATAGGAGACCCAGGCTTAGTGATCTGGTGGGCTGTAGGGTGGGAACTGGTCCTGCTTTCCTGGAGGCTGAGGTTCAAAGGTTTGCCAAAGAAGGGCAGGCTGAGTCTACAAGGGCTTCCTGTGGGTCGGGCTGAACTCAAGGCTTTGGGCTCTGTCTGTCTGATTCCCAATAAGAAACTTGTATATTGCTTTAAGAGTGGAGCTGGTGAGTGGCGGTGATGGTATGTGAGTGTACAGCAATGTCCAAGCTTGGCTTGTAAGCCAAGTCCAGAGGCCAGACACTGGGTTTGCAGGGTCTAACACAGGATCAAAGCCTGCCTCCACTGAAGCTTTACTGTGTGACTTCCAGCAAGTCACTTCACATCTCTGGGCCTCAGTTTCCATATCTGCACCGTAGCCCAGCAACCTGAGAGCCAAATGAGAGTGCTAGAGAGTCATCTGCTAAGGGATTATCTTAATTATCTGAGGTGGGGAAACTGAGCCCCAGAGATAGCAAAGGCCCCGCCAGATGCCACACAGGATGTCAGTGATGCTGCTGCAGCTGGAGCCCAGGCCTCCTGCTCCTAGTTCACAGTATCTTTCCCCAGTGCAGGTGAATGAGGAATGAGATGGGGCAGGTTCATCTGTCTTGCTGTTTGGACTGAGGGCAAAATACTAGGTAAAAAGTGGAGTTGAAGAAAGAGGAAGACCCCCGGCACTTACCAAAGCTGAGATTAAAAAAAAAAATACAAACCCAGCGAGTACCCCTCCCCCCCTTCCCATCCTGCTCCAACCCTAAAGTCTGGCTGCCAAGGGCCATGGCCAGAGTCAGGGTCAAGTTCAAGTCTTGAGTCTGCATTTGCTCCAGTCTGAGTCCGCATTTGCTCCAAGGGCCCCATCCCGCAGATCCAGGAGGGGCCACGCAAGTTGCAGTTAGCCAATGGGCCGCCAGGGGACGCGCCTGCCCAAAGTTATCCGAATTCCCTTACAGTGCTGCTCACTCCAGTTGCCCAGGTATGCGGGTGGCTGCGGGGCAGAAGCTACCCTGACCTGCAGGAAACAACGGCAAGTTAGGGGGTACACCTGCAGGCCTGCAAGTAAGCGAGCTGAGAGACCCGGGTGCCCATGCCTCCTTTATGTCCTCTCCAATACTAAAGACTCTGTCTCCAGCCACGCCCAGCCCTTCCCTCCCCCCCCCCCCCCCCCCCCCCCGTGCTCAGGGACCCACGTGTACAGAGGCTGCAGCTGTAAATGCGATGTCTTCTGCGGCGCCTGGTACCCATAGGAGTCAAAGCCACCGATGAAGTCAACTGCGGAAGGGAAGGGGTGAGCTATGAGAGATTGGGTTCTGAAGGTGAAGAACCCAGGACAGGACCCCATTCCCCAGGAGCCCCGGCCCGAGGAGTGGGTGGTGCCAGGAATGGCCACGCCCATGCTCAGGACAAGGAGCTACGCAGGGAGGTGTATGGTATGGGAGAGGGGTGGTGGCCGCAGGAGAGAGGCAGTCAGGCTGAGGGAAGACCCTAAGGCTCTAAGGCCTTCGATAGGGTTAGATCCAACAATGGGAAAAGGCAGTTCTGGGGCCTTGAACTGAGCACTTGGTCATCTGAGTCCTAACCCTGAGTGGTTATGAAGACCCCATCCATCTCTGCCCTCTCTTCTTTGCTTAGACACGGGTCCCCAAGCTGACCCGGGGCTCCCGAAGGGGAGGAAGCCCTGTCCACAGTGCTGAAAAGACAGGCAGGCTGCCCCACACCCATGGAATTGCACTTACAGCTGTCTTCCTCTTCCAGGAACACTTTGCTCACATAACAGGCAAACACGAAGCCGAACAGCTGGGAGAGGGGATGACAGTCAGGAAGAGAAAGACAAGTTGTCCCTGTCCCCTCTACCCACCCAACTCAGCACCCGGTCCAAAGCAAACACTTACATGTCAATGCTTAAGACTGCGCGAATGTGACTTCAGGCAAGTAGTGCCTGGGTCGTGCCTCACTAACTAGACTCTTACGTGAAAGGACTATGTGACCCTGCCTGTGCCAGGTGCCTGGGACAGGACTGGTCCTGCCATTAATGGTCTCGAGTAGCCTAGGCTAGCCTTGAGCTCTGGATCCTCTTGCCTTTACTTTCCACGTGCAGGGGGTTACAGGTGTATGGCACCATGCCTGGCTGTGACCCCTATTTGGAACACCTTTCTTATTCTCACAGCTCTGTAAAGTTGGTACTGTCTTTTCTATGCAAACAGGAAGGGAGCTCTGAGAGCAAACGACTTACGCAAGGTCCCAAAGCATATTAGATACTTAAGCCCAGCAGGAGTTGGCCTGATGTCTCATCCCATTCATGAAACCTGTCCATGCCTTTCTTAGGAGCTAGAGGAAAGGTGGAGGGAGGTGTCACAAGACACAAATCCAGGCAGGATCAAAGGAAGGCTTGGCTACATAGGTTCACCTTTCTTTTCTTTCCTTTTTTTTTGGGGGGGGGAGGATGGCTGAGGGATGTCTGGAACTCACTATGTAATCTAAGCTGACCTTCAACTTGTGATCTTGACCCCCCTGCCTCTCCTGAGTGCTGGAACTGCAGGCACATGCCACCACCCCTGTCTTGTCCTCTCTTAACTGCGGATAAAGAATGGGATGGGTTGGAAGCTTCACTCTGGGAAGATGGGGTAGGTGATGAACAGGACTTACAGCTAGGAAGATCTGCAGGGCACTGCTGAGGGCTTCGATGTAAGGGTAATCAAGCAGGCAGCCCGTGACGGAGATGACATGGTGGTCCTCCAGTGCCAGGCGGGAGTTCAGAACGGGAGTCACCAGGCAGCCCGGCCCATTCTCCATCCACCACGAGCGATGCAGGGATGTGTTGAAGGTCATGATGAAGTCCCGGTCCTGGGGGGCAGAGGGGCCTGGGATGCTGAGCGGTGGGGAGGGAGAGGAGGATACTCCCTGGGCTCTCACTACCATCTGGACTCTCTCAGCCTGCTCCTCTCTAGCTTGATTTGTGAAGGGAATGAAGACTATACGCATAAGTCCATACATCACCAGCAGGTGGCAGTAGATGACCATCTAAACACCAAATTGCTATCAGTGAAATGCAAAGGGTGGATGTTGACCCTCTGAATTTCAGAATTAGAAGGGATACTAACAGGGACAGGGCCTAACTCCCCAGCATTGGTGAACTCCTCAATACAAGCTCCTGTACAACCCAATGGGTTTCCACTGGTCTCCTTAGTGAGACTCTGGACAAATCTCTCCTCTTCTTGGTCCATAATCTCCCATTTGTTACATGGAGAAGGGCTGGCCTTGGGCAGCTGTTCACAGATAGTGTACAGCCTTGTGCCCATCAATGCCTTCACTCCTTCAGTCAGACCAGGAACCAAACACACAGGCCGGTGATCAAGCTTCATCTCCTGTGTAACCACATGGGGCTGCTCTGGTCTTTACTTTTTCTTTTTTTCAAGACAGGTTTCTCTGTGTACAGTCCTGGCTGTCCCAGAACTTGCTCTGTAGACCCGGCTATCCTTGAACTTAGAAAACTGCCTCATCTGCTTTCTGTGTGCTGGGATTAAAGGTGTGTAATGTACCACCTTTCTATTTTCCTGTGTGTGTGTGTGTGTGTGTGTGTGTGTGTGTGTGTGTGTCTCAATGCACATGTGTAGATACTGAGGTCAGAGGTCAAGGTTGGGTGGCTTCCTTCCTCAATTTCCCTCCCACCTTTTTTCTTTTACATTTAATTATTATTGTTGGTGTGTGTTTGTGTGTGCCTTTGTGTACTCAGGCGACACAAGACATTTCCAGAGGTCTGAATACAACTTTTTGGGATTGAACTTGGATCATCAGGCTTATAAAGTAAGCATTTCCCCCCACTGAGCTATCTCTCTTACCTTGCCTTGTTTTTTGAGACAGGCTCTCTCACTGACCCTGGAGTTCTCAAGTTTAGTTAGATTGGCTGGCCTGAAAATCCTTGGGACGCCCTTTGTCTGCCTTTCCCAGTATTGGGGTTACAGATACATGATGGGAGATGTCATTCTGTAAATATGTTTCTCTTATTGATTAATGAATAAAGCTCTGTTGGCCAATAGAAAGCAAGATAGGTGGGACTAGGAGAGGTGGAGGATTCTGGGAAAGATAGTAGAGTCAAGATGTGATCTTGGGAAGAGAGGATGAGAGTCTGGTATTCTCGGTAAGATAAGACCATGTAGGAATACATATATTAGTGATTATGGGTTAATATTTAAGACAGAGCTAGCCAATAAGAAACTCTAGTCATTGGCCAACAGCTTTATAACTAATAGAATCTCTATGTGTTATTTTGGGACCAGGCTGGAGGGAAACTGCTCATAACAGATACACACCACAGGAAGGCTTTTATGTGGATGCTGGGGATTTTAACTCAGACATCTCTCCAGGCTGGCTTAGAAGAGGAAATGGGATGGGAGATGTTGCTCAGGTGGTAGAATGTTTATTTAGTACACAGGAAGCCTTGGGAGGAAAACATAAGAGGGTCAGGAGTTCAAAGACATCCTTAGCTACAGAGTATTTGAGGCCTGCATGGGCTATAAGAGCTCCTGTCTCAAAAAAAAAAAAAAAAAAAGAGTTAAGAATGCTGGCTGACCTTCCAGAGGACCAGGGTTCCATTTCTAGCACCCACATGGCAGCTCCCATCTGTCTGTAACTCTAGTTCAGGGTTCATTTGCCCTATTCAGTGTGCCAGCACTGAATGCACATGGTGCAGACAGACATGCAGACAAAGCACCTTGGCCTGAATGAGAATGGCTCCCTTGGGTTCATGTGTTTGAATACTTAATCCCCAGTTGGTGGAATGTTTGGAAAGGATGAGTAGGCGTAGTCTTGTTGAAGGTGGGGGTGGGGTTTTGGGGTTCTAATAGTCCACTGATCTCTCTCTCTCTCTCTCTCTCTCTCTCTCTCTCTCTCTCTCTCTCTCTCTCTCTCTGTGGGGTTGTGGACCAAATGTGAGCTCTTGGCTGTTTCTGCTGCAAGCCTTTGCTCTGCCATCATCGGCTCTCAGCCTCTGAAACCCAAATGAAACTCTTTCTTTTGTAAGCTGCCTTGGTCATGATGTTTTATCACAGCAACAGAAAAGAAACCACTGCACACCCATACACATAAAATAAATAATAAATGAATCTAAAGAAAGAACAACCTGAAACTTAGAGAGAGGAAGCCACAGTGTCAAACTGCTGGGCCATGTTCAGCAGGGGCTTAAATGGGGCAGGGTCAAACGATGGAGCCAAAGTTCGTATTCACATATTTGGCCTCCTTTATATCTAAAAATAGACGTTGTGTCTCCATGGGCTCGCTCTTCTGCCAGCCACACACTCCTGCTTTGTCCTCTTCTCCACATGACATAGTTTGTTCACTTTCTCCCAAACAAATGCCACCTAGTCTTCCCTTTCTGAAAATATTGATCCGTCCTGGACCCATCACATCTTCGTGCCTGTTCGACATTTTCACCTCCTTCCCAGGCATTCTATCACGAGGCTAGCACACACCTTTGGATTTTTACTGAGCCTGCGGTCAACGGAGTCCTCGGCTCATCTTCACAGCAAACGCTCTGCTCTTAACCTCATCAGTTCCATCATTGTGAGATGTGAGAAGAGGCCAGGAACAAAAATGGAGGCCAAGGGGGTCGCATGGATCATTTGAGTGTCCCGAGGGGAAAAGGTGTGTGGAAGAGACCATGTCCCAGCCCCCAGTAGGGACGGCACAGGTCAGGCTGTGCTCTGCACATCACCAGGCCGGGGGCTTACCTGGGATAGCTGTCCAACCTCCAGGTAGAAGCAGATGATGAAGGCATTCCAGCCAACCCAGAGCACCAGCCAGGCAGCGTACTGCAGGAAGCAGAGGTGAGTTCAGGGTGGGGCTGGGGGCGGCTCAGTCAATGGAGACAGACTTCAAGGGTAAGGGGGTCTTGGCAGTAGAGGTTACAAGTCCACATGCATCCTACACAGCCCTGAGGGCAGGCAGGCATCTCGTCTCCCCTTTACTAAAACCCAGAGGCAGGCTCAGCTTCTCTGGATCACACAGCTAGGAGGAAGGACTGGCCCTTAGCCCAGGCCCTTGCAGAGGAACCTCTTCTATATGTACTTCAATTACTTTGAGGACTTTACTAAAAATACAAATTGAAGGCTGGGCGGTGGTGGCACACATCTTTAATCCCAGCTCTCGGGAGGCAGAGACAGGAAGATCTCCAAGTTCAAGGCCAAGAGTAAGTTTCAGGACAGCCAGGGCCACACAGAGAAACCCTGTCTCAAAAAAAAAAAAAAACCAAAAACCGGACAAACAACACGAAACCAAAACCATCGTGGGACAAGAGAGAGCAATGGCTCAGCAATTTAGATGAAAGTTTTGTTCCCAGCATCCACACAAGGGCAGGCTCACAACCACCTGTAGCTTGAGGCCCAGGGGATCCAATGCCCTCCCCTGGCCTCCTTGGGTACCCACACTCAAGTGCACCCCTTCATAATTAAAAAGAAATAAAGCCTCAAAAACACAAACTGCAGGGGCTGAAGAGATGGCTCAGTAGGTGAGGACACTTGCCACCAGAGACAGCATGGTGGAGCTGGCCTTCAGGAACAGAGAGGACCTAGGATGAGCGTGAGTAGGCCACTGGCAGCACGACAGTGCATGTCCTTGATACCACACCTGATCAAGCACGGATGTGGGTTCATCTAGTGAAAAACTGTTTCCCTTGATATGGCCACCTGTAGGGGCGCTGAGGACCAGCACAGAGCATGGCTGAAGATGTCTGCGACTAGATATCTAGAAGACCATTAGTGGTGGAGGGTTCTGGGAATACCACCATACCCCCGGGGCTGGAGCATAGGAACTACTGACCTCAAAAAGTCACATAGGCTATCTTGAGACCATGTTGTCCTTTTTTTTTTTTTTTTTTTTTTTTTTTTTGAGATAGTGTCTCACTGTGTAGCCCAGGCTATCCTGAACTCTCCATGATATTGCCTATTTCTCCCAAGTTCTAGGATTACAGATACGCATCACCACACCTGCCGGACCCCATCCTCAGTGAACATCAGTCAGTAGGGACAGAAGCCATGACTTTCTGATGATGCTTCCTTGCTGCCCTGGGAAACACTGATGAGGCCCACCACTTCTTTGTCCCCAAAACTTAGGGTTGGTGATAGTGTGGGAGTCCTTCTCCAGACCTGGCTCTGCCTTTCTTAGCTGTGTGACCTTAGGGAGACTCTTCCCCACTCTGAGCCAGCCTCTTTTCCTCAGCCGTGTGTGTGTGTGTGTGTGTGTGTGTGTGTGTGTGTGTGGTGATAGGGCTGCTGTATGGTGAGACTCACACATAGGACTGAGCACTCTGCCTGGCCCACCCTGGGCAGTTGACATATCTTGCTTATGGCATATCTTACACTATCCCCTGGGAAGATTCTGTAATGGAAAATAGCACCCAGGTATGCTCTGAGCACATAATTTTGAGGTTTGGAGAGGTGGGGGCAAAAAAAGCAGGGGAACATACCAGGATGAGATACCGGGACCGATACTGCACGGTGCCAAAGATGCCCAGGATGACAGCCATGATATGTAGGAAGTTGGCCAGGATGGGAGCCCACTGGTAGCCCAGGAAATCAAAGATCTGCCGCTGGAGTGCAGCCACCTGTGGAAGAGACAGCCTGCGACAAATGCCACACAACGGGACATAGACTCAAGATGCCTATTCCCTCAGCCACAAAGGGGTTATACAAGAGGAAGTCAAGGCCTCTACGGCTGAGCCAGGGTCCTGGCCTCTCCTTCCTGCTGGCAAGCCCTTCCTGGATAACTCAGAAAGACCATCTCAAAAAACAAACAATGAGACATGGGATGGAGGCAAGATGGCTCAGAGGTTAAAGGTGCCAACCACTGAGCCTTACTACCTGAGGTTGGTCCCCGGGACCCAAGTGGTGAGAGTATCGACTCCCACAGTTGATCCTCTGATATGCAAAAGTGTTACTCCAAATAAATAAATGTACTTAAATTGTTTTAAATCTGGGGACTGGGAATATAGCTCGGCGGTAGAGCGCTTATGTAGCATGTGCATTACCTTGGGTTAGATGCCCCAGCACTAAAAGCAAACAACATCTCATTGTCTGCTTAGGAATGAGTTGAGGGGATCTGGGTCAAGCGAGAGAACCTAGGGTCTCTTCCTACCAGGATAGCACAGGCTGATGCCTCACAGATGGCACAGTTTGGGCAGCGACCAAAGAAGCTGCAGGCTTGGACAGGACATGAGGGGAGCCTGGTAGTGCCAGGCCCAAGCCTGGCACCTTCCCATCTGCCTCTCGCTGGTGACAATCCTCACAAGGCTCTGCAGATGGTCAGAGGCATCCCAAGTTCATCTCTCCCTGCACATGCCTTGGCAGGAAGATGGACCTGGGATCGTTATGTCATCTTGAGGAAAGAGAACATGCAGTTTGGAGAGGACAAATGACTTGCCCAAGGTCACACAGCAGGCAGGTGGCAAAACAGATCTTTCTCTGCCACCTGTCTCATCTAGGCACCAAGGTACTGTGCTTCCCAGTAGGCGCTGGCTCAGGAGTTAAGGGGCTCAGGTGGAGAGTGGGGAGTGTACCTCCATCTGCCGGGGAACTTTGCCCTACTGAGACTCGGGCTCCTCACCTATATACAAACATTAACGGACTCCACAACACTGTCCGACTTGGGTGGCTGGCTGGCTAACCTTGAGGGAAGAACCCTCCAGGCTTGTCTTCCTCATCCCACTCTGTCTTTTTAAAAAAAAAAAACAAAAACATTTCTCTCTCCATGTGTGTAGTGTGTGTGTGTGTGTGTGTGTGTGTGTGTGTGTGTGTGTGTGCAGGCGCAAGAAGGCAGGTCAAAGGACAACTTGCAGGAATCATTTCTTTCCTTCTACTATGTAGGTCCTAGGGAGAAAATTCATGTTGTCAGACTTGGATTCGGGTGACTTGTACCATCTTGCTTCTATTCTTTCCACAACTGAAATTGGAACTGGAGTCTCCACCTCCTTTTCAAGCCCTCCTGTGTGAAGTACAGCTCACTTCTCACCCTCCAGGGATGGGAGGACCCCTGATGAGTCCATCCCTAACCCTGGATGCTGCTGTTCCTGCCACACACAGCCATCACCTATCCATCCAGCACTGAGCTCTGACGATTTACCATCCACTAGACATGGAATGTGTCCCATCCACTAGCTCCTTTACATCTTAGAACAGTTAGTGTTTGTCACCTGTGCAGGCTCTGAGGCCCCCACCCTTTGGAAATAGTGTAAAGAGTGACAGGAAATCAGACAGCAGGAGCCCAGGGTGCCAGTCACGAGCCCCAGGCCTCCATGAGACAGATATAAAGAGGCTTTTACTTCCCATTACTTCCCGGACTAGGGAGGTGGAGACAACGGGGTTCCAAAAAGAGGCCAGCATGGGCTACAAAGTAATACCTTGTTTCAAAAAAGACAAAAGCAAGAAACGAAACAACCCCCCCCCCACAAAGATATTCTTAAAACTCTAAATTGGAGTGGGGGTTGTGGAGGAAAATGGCTCAGTGGGTAAAGAAGGTGCTTGCCACACTGAGCCTCAAAACCTAAGTTCTCAAAGCCCACATGGTAGGAAAAGACCAACTCTTGCTGTTTTCTGATCTCAACAAGTACATTTAGGCACAGTGGGCTAGTACACACACACACACACACACACACACACACACACACACACACAAACACACATGGAGAGAGACGTATACAATAACATTTTTAAATTCTAGTTTGCCAGCTAAATGCACCTTGACTCAAGATGAGTGGGAAACATTCTCAATAAACATTGTGGGTACTGTCTGGCATTGTGGCGCACACCTTTAATCCCAGCACTCGGGAGGCAGAGGCAGGTGGATTTCTGAGTTCGAAGCCAGCCTGGTCTACAGAGTGAGTCCCAGGACAGCCAGGGCCACACAGAGAAACCTTGTCTCAGAGAAGCAAACAAACACCATCTTGGGTGCTTAAGAATTTTGCTGGGAGTGATGGTAATGGTATACAACTATGATCCCAGCATCCGGGAGTGGAATCTGAAGAATCAGAGTTCAAGTCCACCCTTGGGTGCACAGTGAGTGGCTCAGTGGGAGCTGACCTTGCACTTGCAAAAAACTTTGGGCCCTGTCTTCCTGATTCTTGAGCCCATGGGTTTGTGTGGCCTCTCCTGACACTGCCATCCCCTGTCCTTGGCCCTGTCCCATGCACTGCACCTTTCCTGTAGTTTCTTCAGGAAGTCTGTTTCTCTTTCCTCCTCCCATGCTCCAAGGTCCCAAGAGGGGCTAGCAGCCTTTGAATCCTAAGGCTACGTCTCCACCTTCACTGCTGGCCACGTCACCCAGTTTCCCAGGCCTTGCCCTGTCTCTGAAAACAATTTTTGTTTTTTGCACACAGGATCCTGCTATGGAGCCCAGGCTGTCCTGGACATTGAGATCCTCCTGCCTCAGCCTCCAGAGTGCTGGGTTTACACACCCACTCCATCATGTGTAGTACTCACTGTAAATCTAACCTGCTGGACCTGGTCCATTTCCAGTGCCCACTCCTCTGATGTGTCCGGATGCAAGAGCTAGCACCTCCAGTTCTGACTCAAGCCTTCTTCCTGCTCTTTAACATCCCCGAGTCGAGGGGTCACCAGTGGGACAAATCTCCCATCCGACCACTTTCACCATTCATGCTTTCTCTCCACTGGATGCTTCAAGCCTCCTTTCCCAGGCCTGACTCACACACACCCGTTCACCTCGCCAGAGTGAAGACCCAGTCTGCCTGGCTGCCCTTCCCCTGGCCCTTAGCTCCCCACCCCCAAAACCTGATTATTTATTTATCAGGTGGCTGCCAGCTGAGGGGGGATGTTGTTGCTATGGGAACCTTCAGCCCCTTGTCAGGGCTGCTTCTGGTCTCAGTAGGATGCTCTTGTCTGTCTAGACTCCAACCCCAGGAGCCCAATCCCAGGTGGGGACTGGGGTGGGGGTGGGGAATAATACAGATGGATCCACCCTAGCCCCAGGAAGCTGACTGGGGCAGAGGCAGGGAAGAGGCTGGGCAAAAGGCCATGGAACTTCATCAGAAGCCTCCAGTACCTTAGCCCTTGCCCATCAATTTTGCAAGTCAACTATTTCCTGGGCCAATATTCCAGTGTGCGGCCATATGCCTTAGTTGCAGAAGTCTGGCTGTCTGGGGGGAGAGGAGGGTGGCGCCCTGAGAGTCCCAGAGGAACGGAAAGTGCAGCCCTATTCTTCTGACCGACTGGAGGAGCGAAGCTCCCCATTTGGGGTCCAGCAGAGGAGTAGAAACAGTTTAGTCAGTGACTCATCCTGCAACCCTGGGCAGGTCCTTTTCCCTCTCTGGGCCTCGGTTTCCTCGATAGCAAAGTGTTCTATCACATAAAGCACTCAGCTAACAGGGTGTCTCCAGTACAAGGCAGCAGCCTCCCATGTGTCCTGAAGCCCCCCTTCCCAGTGGATTTCTGAAGCAGCTGACAAAATTATACATGACTCAGCCCCTCATCCGTGAAATGAGGGGGTGGGCTGAAGCTGATGCCGCAAGCTGGAAGGAGCCCGGGAGATCCACTAGTGCAGCCCTCATTAGGCCTCAACACAGTGACAGCTGGGTGGGACAGTCACTTGCCTGAGGGGAGGGGTCTCCCGGCTCCTAAACTGGACCCACCCCAGGGGCTCCACCTGGGGCCAGCATTATTGTGTGTCAGCTGGAAGAGTAGAGTGATGGAGACCAGGAGGGGCTTTACCATGGACAGAGAATGCACCTTCTGTTCCAGGCCCCAGGGCTACTACGGACAGGGGGATGTGAGGCAGTGAATAAACCATGTGGCCTCTGTCTTAGAAAGCATCGGTCCAAGGCGTTATACACTTGTAATGCCAGCACTTGGGAGACAGGGCAGGAGGGCCTACTGCAAGTTTTATGCCAGCCTGGGCTATATAGTGAAACCAACCCTCAAAAACCAGAAAGGGGGGGGGAGAAAAGAAAGTGGAAGGAAGAAAGGAAAGAGAGAGACGGAGAGGAGAGACATGGCCTCCTGGTGATTGATATTGGGGACTACTGAACAGGGAGCCCCTCTTCTGTGCCTAGTGGTCATTGGGGACACCTGGTGCTTTGACGTGTACACACGGTGTCCCTCCCTTCTTTACAGATCCTTGGCAGTCCTCCTCCCAGCCCAGATCCCACTGGAATCCAGCCAAAGCTATCACTGTTAAGTCAAAAAAGCAAGCCGCAGAGCAGCATGAGTCCTCTGTGTAAAAAACAAAAGCCAGGAGAAGACAACAGTTATGAGCAGTCATCTCAGGGGAGCAGAGCATGGCGACCGGAGACGAGGCTCTAAACACACATACAGCTGGAGCTGTGAACTGGCTCACAACTAAGATGGAATGTGTTTAAGAAAGTTAAAGTCGGCTGGGCGGTAGCGGTGCACACCTTTAGTCCAAGCACTCTGGAGGCAGAGGCAGGCGGATCTCTGTGAGTTCAAGGCCAGCCTGATCTACAGAGCTAGTTCGAGGACAGGCTCCAAAGCAATACAGAGAAACCCTGTCTTGAAAAACAAAAACAAAAAAAAAAGTTAAAGTTGGGGGTGGGGCAGCTGAGTGGCAGTGTATAAGGCTGACTCAAATCCCAACCCT